GGGGAACCTTGGCTTCCTCCATCACTGGAGCAAGCAAGCCTCCTGTTCGCTTCAGCTGCCTGGCTGCCGGCCGCCATCTTGGTTGGCAGTTAATTTGCTTATCGCCCTGATTAGCCAATGGGAAGCGTTTCGGAGGTACGGTTAATTACCATGTTTGTCTATTATTAGATAGGATTGTTTATGGTTCCTGTGATCTACAATGGCAGAGCTGAGTAGCTGCAACAGAAACCGTATGCCCTTCAAACCTAAAATATTTTCTATCTGGCCTTTTACTGAAAAATCTTATCAACACCTGTTTAGAAATTATGGTTTTACCTTTAAAATAATCATTCCTTTTTACAGTGGAAAATTAAATTTACTGATAAACTGAATCATTTTCTGTACTATTCTGTACAATTTTTGCAGTTTTCAAAAATAATACCTTCCCTCTTTGTTTACTTTCCTTCTTTTTATAATACCTATTTCAATAATTCTTTTAGTGAGAATCTGAGATAAACTTTTATTAGTCTTAAATGTTTGAAAATGTCTTTATTTTGCCCTTGTTTATAAATGATAATTTAATTGATTATAAAAATTCCATGTTCATGCTCTCCTCCCACCTTCAGTACTTTGAAGATATTACTTCACTTTTTATAGATTTTTTTTTTAATTGAAAAATCAGCTCAGTGATTTTGTATGTTATTGGTCTTTTATTTCTGGTATCTTTTAAGATCCTCGCTTTAAGCTTGATGCTCTGCAGTCTTAAAAGATGTGCCTAGATATAAAATTTTTTTTATTTAACTTGTTTGGTATTTGGAGTGCACTTTAAATCTGAAAATTTGTGTCTTTAGTTCTGGAAAATTTTCAGCTACATCCTCAACAAAGAATTCATGTCTGTCATTCCATCCATTCTGTTTTCCTGGACTTTTATGAGACAAATATTGGAAATTCTTGGTCTTTCTATGTCTCTTTAATTTATCTTTTGTAAATTTTTAAAATCTGTTCCTTGGTGCCATGTGCTGGATTGCTTTTCTCAGAAATATTTTCTAATTCATTAATTTGTTATTCAACTCTGTCAAGTGGAGAGCATGTTTTATTTCAATGATTTTTCTTCTTTCTCTGCCGGACCCCAGCAGCAAGCTACCTACAGGTCCGAGTGTCTGTCCCCTGGTGGTCAGTGCACGTCATAGTGAGTGGTTGAGTGGCCTTAGCATATCATTAGCATATTATGCTTTGATTGGTTGAACGGACGACCAGACACTTAGCATATTAGGCTTTTATTATAATAGGATAATATTGCAGTGAAAAATATTTTGAAGTGTTTTATTGTAAAATATACATACATGCAATTTACCATTTTTAAGTGTGTAACTCAATAGCATTTTATACATTCACATTGTAGTGCAACCATCACCAATACTTATTTCTAGACATTTTTGCATCACCCAAAACAGAAAATCTATACAAGTTAGGCAGTAATGTCCCATTCTCCCAGCCCCTAGTAACCTCTAATCTATAGTCTCTGTCTTTATGAATTTGCCTATCTACATAATATATAAAAGCTTAAGCGACCTTTATGACTGGACAGCCTTTATGACACTCAACACAGGAGCTTGCTCCCTGGTGGTCAGTGTGCTCCCACAGCCAACTTCCTGCGGCCAGCCAACCTCCCATGGTCCCTCCTCCCAGCCCCCATCGGCTCCCATCTGGACTGGGTGAGACGGCCCTGATTGCTGGCCAGGCCAAGGCTCCCCACCCATGCACGAATTCGTGCACCAGGCCTCTTGTTTTAGATAACTGCATATAAGTGCAGTCATGCAATATTTGTCCTTTCGTGTCTGGCTTATTTCACTTAGCATAATGTTTTCAAGGTTCATCCATGTTGTAGCATATATCAGAACTTCATTACTTTTT